CACACCCCACCACCCAGGCCTTCACCACCCTATTGTCTGTGTCCATGGGTTATGCATATATATATATACAAATTCTTTAAATTCTTTTGGTTGATCACATCCACCTACCCACTCACCCCCACCTTCCCTTTGCAATTTGGTCTGTTATTCTTAATTGAAGTTTGGACTACCCATGATCCAATATAACATAACATATTATATTATCCTCCACATCATTCATATGAATCTGAGGTTAACTTTTTAGTTCAGCTTGAAGAACATAATTCCAAGCTAAAGAACTACCTAATTGATGTCAATTTTGTATTTGTTGGAATGCTTTTGCTCCTGATTAGAATTTGTGCACAAAGTTACAATGCTTACGGGGTAACTCTCGTGTGGTGGCCAAGCACTACTGCTCAAAAATATCAATGTCCCTTCGTTCCCATCACTCCACTGCGTTTGTTTTGCAGATAGTGGAGGCGGTGTATGAGCCAGTGCCAGAAGGCATCTACTCTGAAAAAGTGACAGATACCATCAGCAGGTAATTAGGCTCCCAACTTTGAACATACAGGGATCCTCAAGAAATACCTCACATCTACAAGGATTTCCTTTGTAAATATTCATGCGGACGGAGGGCTCCCAAATAATCTAAACCTAGAAAAATATTTTGTATCATCAATAATAGTGACCATTTGGAAGCCATGAAATGTCCAAGAGGAAATAGTGCATTCACTTGAAATATTACGCAGCCACTAGAATGATGACTCTGAATGCTTTGTTTCCACTTGTAAAACACATGCAGTATGATCCTAAGTACAGCAGGATGTAAAGTTGTTTATAACTATGACAAAAAGTTTAAAAATATGGCCTAAATGTGGAAAAAGGCTGGACAGGAATATATGAAATGGAAAAGGGTTATGTTAGATAAAATTATAAGCATCTTTCATTTCTGTTTTTAAATCAGTAATGTTGTATTGTATAATACGTTTTCAAAGAAAGTTGGGAAGAATTTTTCTAGCTACCAATATAGTAGGAGTTTAATGAAAGGCATTATCCCTTTGCAAAGTTCTGACCCCACAGGGCTTGTCCCAGCTGACCCCGCCCCTCTCCCCTCTCACTTTTCCTCTTTTCTCTCCCTTTGGACCTTTGACCTTGCTGTTCCCTCTTTCTGGAACTCTCTTCTCTGAAGCATGCATGGCACAGGCCTTCACTTCCCTTGGGTTTCTGCTGAGCTGTCCTGTGTCAGGAAGCCAGCCCCACCCTCAGCCTTTCTGCACCCTCTTGTGCCCTTGCCTGCTCTCTAAAGCTCACAGCGCCCATCACCCTGACGTGTTGTGCCTGTATATGCGGACTTGTCTCTTTATTGTCTCTCTGTCCTCACTGGACTTCACAAGAGCAGGGACTTCTTCAGTTTAGCTCACAGCTGTTCCATGCCCAAAGCAATGACTGGCACAGTGTAGACCCTTAACTAATTAAATACTGGTTGTACGAATAAATGACTCTCATTTATCTGGCTGATTGTTATTTCTGGACCATTTTAAGTACTTAAGTTGGCCCAAGATGACTTCTCTGCCCCATTGAGCTGAGTCAAATTCTCATTATTATGATGGAAACCCTAGAGTCACCTCCGATAGACTCTTTATCCACGCCCCTGCCCGATTCCCGGCCAGCTCGGTTCTGTGTCTGCCCCAGCACTGAGCAGCATCTCTGGGGGGATGTCATAGACATAGTACCCTGGCTGTGCCCCTTCCCCCTTGTCTCCCCTCCCAGCCCATTGTTTGGCAGTAACAGGCACTCCTCACATGTTTGCAGGGTTACATCTGGAGTCTCTCCTTGTGCAGTGCAGTGCTGTCCTGCTGTACACTAAGAGCCCCAGGCCCAGCTCGGGCCGAGCTTCACTAACTACAGACTCTGAACAAACCATTTGACCACTCTTTCTGCATCTCTGTTTCCTCATTTAGTAAAATGGGGATCCTAGTCGCACCAACCTCATCAGGCTGGTGTGCTGATTACACAGGGAATATATTGTTAATATTACAGGAAATGAGCTGAAACCCCTTCTTAAATCATCTGAATTCTGCATGTCCTGGATCGTGCCTTGTTGCTAATGAATCCAGACAAATGTATTTAAACTGCTCATCTTCACAGTCTGTCCCCGTTCTCTGCTATCTGTTTTTTGTGAAGTGCCTTAAAAATCCAAGTCTCCGGAGTTGTCAAGACAGGAGTACCAGACGTACTCGTTTTACTTCTCCTTTTCATAGGTATTTGATTGCCACAAGGGGCCGGGGTTGGGGGGTAGTGCAGAGAAAAAGAACGGAGACATTATTCTGATTTTGTGGCACTGGGCAAACAGAACCATAATTTGCTTCTGACAGGCTCCCCGGCTATTGGTACCCGTGCCTCTTGGGGCTAAGAGGCTGCGGCAGAGTCATATATCAACATTGTCATGAAAAGGTTAAAAGCATCAGTAGGTTCTGGAATTAACTGAATTCATATTCCTCCTCTTCCACTCATCTGAACATTCCCAGCCCCACTTTTCCCACCTGTGCTGTGTGGGTAGCAATGGCAACTACTCATGGGCTCGCTTCAAAGCCTGAATAAGATAATGCTTCTGATGCTCTTAGCACAGTACCCAGCAGATAGCAAGTGCTCAATAAAACCAGCTATCGCTATTAATAACAATATTATGTGTGGAATTAAGTATATAAAACCAATTGTGATAAATGTGATGCAGGACAGCAAAGGGGCAATAAGAGATTACAGAAGAATTTGGCCTGGTCTGGAGATTTGAGGAAGATTACTATGAAGAAGGGATATGTAATCTGGACCTGAACAACTCTCAAATAGTAAACAGAGTAGAGAAAGCATTTCATAGACGGGCATCTGTGAAAGCTTTCCTGGGGGAAAGAGCTTGTTAGTTTGAGGAACTGAAAGACATTGAAGATGGAGCGTGTTAAGTATGGGAGAGAATAATGAGCACATGATTAGGGACTACGGGGGGGACCAGATTGACCAGGTCCTATGGGCCACAGTGAGAGTTTGGAATTTTTATCTCGAGTACTGAGGAGAGGACTAAAGGGCTATTAACAGGATGGGCACAGTGAAAATTTCCTCCTTAGCACAGATCAGGGGGGACAGACTGGAGGAAAAGATTGTGGAAGGGAGAGGAAGG